TCATTTTGAACTATAGGGTGAAGCCCTTTACAGAACATTATCAAGTGTTCGGCAGTTTCTTCTTCCTCTCCACACGCACTGCATACTGTGTCTACCCCTTCGTATTTGGCCCGATATGTCTTGGTTCGCAGTACTCCCGTCCTGGCCTCAAACAGTAGAGAACTACCTCGGGTATTATCATAGATCCTTTCCTTGGCAATTTCGTGCTTAAAAGTTCGATAGATCTCTAGTGCGGACTTCTTAATCATGCCCATTCTCCACATGTCAGTCTCCGTTTCCTTCACTTTCTTCTTAACCGATAGTTCTTTGTGGTTTGGCCACCTGCTGTTTTCTAAGTATTCACCAGTCAATTTCCTGGTTCGCTTCCTTCATTTTGTATCGACATTCTTCATGTACAAGTAGCTGAAAACCTTCCTAGCCCAACGCTCCTCCCCCATTTCTCTCAGTCGCTTCTCAAATTTTATCTTGCTGCTAGCTTCCCTGCCCTCAAATGATGTCCATCCCATATCACCTTTTACTCCCTGATTTGGTGTATTCCCGTGAGCTCCTAAAGCAAGCCTACATATTCCACGTTCCACGCCTAGTGTGTCCAGTATTCCCCACAATTCCTCTTGAACCACGCTATCCTACGCTCCCTTGATATCCAAAAATGCTAGCCACAGGGGCCTGCGTTCCTTTTCTGCTATTTCGATGCACTGCGTCTGTGAGAACAGATTGTCTTCCAACGTCCTGTGTTTCCGAAACCCATTCTGCAGTTCCCCCAGCACCCCCTTATCCTCTATCCATGCCTGCAGTCTTTCCTTTATAATCTGCATCGCAGCCTGTAGACCACTGATGTAACTGTTATGGGACGGTAGTTGTTTATGTCAGTTTTGTCCCCCTTCCCTTTATAGATCATGCTCATCCATCGGGAACTTCACCAAGTTTCCATCCATCGGGAACTTCACCATCGATTATTAGTTTGCTCACTGCCTCTCTCAAAGCCTGCTTAGACTTCGGACCTAATGTTTTTATCAGCATAATTGGAATGCCATCTGAGCCGGTTGATGTACTACTAGGAACCCTTTTCTCAGCCTTTTCCCACTCACGTTGTGAAAATGGAGCCATTGCACCACTTGATTCGTCCTTGTCTATTGTGGTGCATAAAGCACTTCTTTGTTGAAATTTTTCTGTCACCCTTGTTATTATATATTCAATAGCTTCGTCCCCTTTTAGCCTAGCACCTTGGGCTGTAGTTATAAACCTCTGCTCTAGGCTCGTCTCATATCTCAGGGAGTTTAGATAGTTCCAAAATTTCGCAGCTGCCTTTCTATCTTTTATATGTACTTCTGCCAGCCACTGAGCTCCCTTTCTTCTAATCTTTTCATTGATCAGAAGGGATGCATCCCTTCTACAGCTTAGAAAGGTTTCCCATTTTCTTTCAACATCATCTGTCGGTTCACCCCGCTGCTTAGCATGTCTGTGTTACCTAGAGGCTTCCAGATGTTTTGCTATGGCTCTCTTAACTTCCTCAACCCACCAAATTTTGGGTTTGTGTCTTCTTTTCCGGGGTGACTTGTCACGCGTCTTAGCAAGCTCTAGCTCAAACAGTCTAATTGGATTCGTGTATTTCCACACTGTCTTATTATCCTCCGTGATTACTTTCTCAATTTGTTTAGTGGCTATTTCAATTTGCCTTTCTGAATAAAAATTTTCCTGTAGTTGCTCATCTTGTCTCCTTCCCACTTTCACTGCTCTTCCAAAATTTAGCTCAATACGTTTGTGATCACTACCCAGACTTCTGGAGCCACCTTCATCTATGTGCATTCCCCTGAGCTTATCATACATCCTATGTGACATCAGTGCATAATCTATCGTCGACTGCAGCCTTCCTACCTCCCATGTTATTTGCCCTTCACACTTCTTGGTACTGTTGCAAATGATGAAATCAAGCCTTTCACACATATCCATGATCATTTTGCCTGTCGGGTCGGTAGAGCCATCTATATCTTCTATGTGCGCATTCATGTCTCCTAGTATAATTATCTCGCACTCTCTTCCTAATTCCTGAATGTCCTTTGATATACACTCCAACATTGCCTGGTTTTCCTCTCTGGCCTTTGCTCCCGTCCACAAGTACACGAAACCAAGGAGTGTCATTTGACCTGCCACTTTCCCTTTTAGCCATAAATGTTCCTTGTGCTCCTGCTTGACCATTTGCCAGTCTGTACTTTTATGAATGAATGCCCCAATACCACCCCTTTTTCTGCTGCATTCTGTTCTATTACAATATTCCCACGCGTAGTCCAGATTGTTTGGAGGTTGTTCCATGTCCCTGAGATGTGTTTCTACAAAACCGTATACCATCGCCCTCTCTTCCCTTAGCTGTTCTTCTATCTCTTCCCACTTCAGCCTGTTTATACCACCCTGCATGTTAATATACCCTATGTCTGAATTGGCTCGGCGCTCGTGGCTACGTCTATTTATGCCCCGGACTCTACCTATCTTAGATACTGGTGCCACTTTGGAACCGTATCTGTCCATACCACCTGTCGAAGTCTCCCGGGCTGTTTTCCTCGTTACTAGCTATTCTGCACCCCGAAGGGCTCGCTTGCCCCCCAAAAAAGCTACTGCGCGTCCTGCAAGCTGCCAACCCACATCATGACCTAGCCGTCCATCGAAGTGAATTCTGTCTCGTCGAAAACCAGCCCACCTATGCACCTCTCTGTTTATTTCTACCACCTCAAAGCCTTTCTCTCGACTCATCCGCCATATCTCTTGGTTTGCGTTGACAACCGCTCTTTGCAGGTTGCTATCACGCACCGGCACCTTCGGTATCGTACATATCACTACCTGTACCTTAGGAGAAGTGGCGCGCATGTCATCGACGCCTTTCACCAGTGTGGTTGCTAGTTCTGCTGTATCTTCATTTAAGACATCGTTTGAACCGCCTGAAATTATCACGAGGTTTCGTCTATCAGCTGTAGAGTTGAGTTTTGCGCTCGCTTGCCTCATGACTGCTTCAAGCTTGCGTCCTGGGAGCACTCCTACTGCAACCCTCTTGTCACCTCTTACCCTCTCTTTGATGGCTTCTGTGCATCGATTTAAATTCGAGCCCCCGGCGATTATCACATGCTGTGAATTTTCAGCTGGAGCGTTCTGCACCTGGGGGCTACTTGCACCTGTAACGCCGGCTGCTTTGTCCCCCTCCCAGCCCCACCACTACCTCGATGAAGCTGGGCCTTGCGACAATTGAACCGGCCGAACCTGTTTTTTCCAAACTTGCTTGTTCTTCCTTCTCCACCGTTCTGGTTGCCGGTTCCCTACTGTTCTCTCCGTAGGCCGCTTCTTTGTTCAGCTTCAGAATATATTCCGCATATGCACCGCCATCCAGCGGACATTCCAATGACTAAACGAGAGGTGGCATGTGCACACTTTCATACGGCTTGCGCTTCGTGTCTACTTCCCACCCTTAACCACCTCGAGTTTATGGTATATACTAGTTCACTGTATTCATAGCACTGCGGCCCAACGATCGCTAAACCTTTCTAAAACCAAAGAGGTTACGCCCAGCGAGCATAACGTAGTAACCCTTTCTTGTCAGATAGTGCTTAATGTACATGCCAATGGCTGCTAAGGGGGAATGAGAGACAAAAGAATTTGGCTTTTAGTTAATGCACGCGCTGCGAATTTTGTATTGTTCAACAACGCACAGAAAAAATCTCTCACCGGCACCACCTTGGAGGTCCAAATGTTATACTTGTTACATACTACAACGGCTACGAGGGATGAAAGGGTGCCGCTATATGGAGCTTCGCCCCTAAAAATAGTGCATAACAACAGACAAGGAATGTCTTCAATTCTAACGAAACTCTAATGTACCAATAACATATCCGAAATACAGGAGATGTATTTCGGATATCCTTAAGTAAGTGCGGGATATTCTTTAATGTGTGGCATCAACATCAGAGGTCTTTAGTTCAAATATTGTCATGGGATCATGTTTCTTACGTCTGTTTGTTTTAATAATTAAAGACCGAAAATTGATTGTAATAAACCCGTGATAAATACTAGACATTGGCGTGAGCAGGCCACTGCTTCAGGGAAACGGGGGGAGGAGCAAGAAGTCTAACGAAAGCGCGCACACCCACCCCCACCCCTCGCCTTTAGGCCCTTCAGTTGCGTCCAGCGGAAAACAAGCTGCGAAACGGATACAAAAAAACAAAAAAAATGAAGCGATGAAGTGATTCTCAGAACGGTCTTCCATTTTTCGACGGCTTTCCTATAGGGCAAAAGAGAGAAGAAAACGGCTTTTCGCGACATGAGGGGTCGCCGATCATCATCGCCAAAAAAAGATCCGTGGCTATACCTTGCGCAGCAAAGAATGATTGATTGATTGATATGTGGGGTTTAACGTCCCAAAACCACTCCGGAAATTTCGACCACCTGGGGTTCTTTAACGTGCACCCAAATCTGAGCACACGGCCTACAGCATTTCCGCTATACCGCCGCAGCCGGGATTCGATCCCGCGACCTGCAGGTCAGCAGCCGAGTACCTTGGCCACTAGACCACCGCGGCGGGGCTGCGCATTAAAGGTGACTTGAAATGTCCGACGAAGTGAAAGTATAATGTGCGGGGTTTTACGTCTCAAAACAATCATATGGTTTTGAGAGGTGCCATAGTGGAGCACTCTGGAAATGTTGACCATTTGGTAGTCTTTAACGTATCGCACAGTACAGGGACCTCTAGCACGTTTCCTCCATCGGTATGTGACTACCGCGGTTGGGATCGAATCCACGACCATCGATTCAGTAGCCGAGCGCCCTAGCCACTAATCCACCGAGGCGGACATGGAGTAAAAGTATAGGGCCGTATCGCCGCCCCTTTAGATGACCAGGAGAGGGCAGCCACCTCCCCCTAACGTCAAGCGTATGAATGTGCAATTCGATGAACAGCGTATCACTCGTGCTTTTCTGAACAGCATACTTACTTTAATTTTATCTTTTATTTTTCACCGCAGATAATGGCACTGAAAAGCTTAATCATCCTCGGAGCAGTCCTGGCTGTCGCATCAGGTAAGACTGCATTCTCACGGCAGGGGAAAATCCCTGGTAGTAGCGAGGATTTTGGGGAGGATTCCCAACTGTGACATTTTTTTGGGTAGAGCGCGAGATCGATGAAGACGGAAGGGACAGAGATGAGCGCTGACTCACAACTGAAAGTTTTATTTGAAGAACACAAGAATGTAAATAAAAAAAAATTGTCCGTGAGATGTATCGATGCACTGACGCATGGTTCACTTTGTTAACATGGAAAGCTTGCATCACTTCCCTAATTATCTGGGATGTATGTTTCGACAAAGTTTCTGTATCGGTAAAAAACAGGTGCACAGATTCCATACCAACTATCTCAACTTTCAATGCTATTGCAATACATTTCCCAGCTGTGATTTGGGCCTTCGTCTCTTGACGAATCGCTCCGCGCGGACAGAAGCGGGGACGCGGGAACGGTCCACGTATGGTAACGCAGTACGCAATCTCCTGGCTCGAATCGCGATTTGGTCCATCCCGGGAATACAGCTTTACATTCGGAGCGTCGAAAACAAACAGCGCGGCGCTGGCCCCGATCGCAGGTGCTCGGTCAAACTTCGTGCAATGCGTGGACACCAGCCTCTGTCCCGACGGGGCGACCTGCTGCGAGACGGCGGACGGGACGTGGGGCTGCTGTCCCTACGAGTTTGGCCAGTGCTGCCAGGACGGCAGGCACTGCTGCCCGCTGGGCTACAGCTGCGACGCCGCTCAAGGGAGCTGCGTCCACGAGCTCACGCAAGAGCGACTCTTCCGAACGGCGCTCGAGCCACGTGTCTCGGGGCTCGCACAAAATCGGCGCAACGAAGTCATCCATGGAGGTAAGAAAACACGATATTTTCCGTATTATTGAATCACTCTTTCATGATACTATAATTGTCCGCCGCTATGGTTTAGCAGTTAGGGTAGCTGGGCTGCTGAGGCAAAGGTCGCGGGTTCGATGCCGATCGCGGCGGTCGCATTTTGGTGGATGCGAAATTGTCGAGGTCCGTCGGAACACCAGATGGTACGAATTTCTGGAGACCTGCACTAGGGCGTCTGACATTATTATATCGTGGTTTTGGGACGTGAATACCCAGATCTCATTATTATTAGTGCTAAAATCATCCCGCTATCGACCGGAAGAAATTCGGTAGGCGAGAAACATGTGCGCACAATTTTTTTTCAGTCAACTAATGTCAATTAATAACAAAGTCTTTACAAGAATCGCGTGCTACAAGTAGCTGGCACTTTTGATTGGTTAATTATGTGGGGTTTAACGTCCCAAAACGACAATGTGATTATGAGGTTACGCCGTATATAGTGGAGGGCTCCGGAAATTTCGACCACTTGGCGTTTTTTAACGTGCACCCAAATATGAGCACACGGGCCTACAGCATTTTCGCCTCCTTCGAAAATGCAGCCGCCACGGCCAGGATTCCATCCTGCGACCTGCGGGTCAGCAGCGAGTACCTTAACAACTAGACCACCACGGTGGGGCGAGCTGGCACCCTTGATCTATTGCTAACAACACGACCCGAGTTTATTCCGCATGTCACTTACCATGCTTGAGCGATCATTCTTATCCATTTCAACGCCAGCATTACGAGACCAAAATCTTAAAAGAAAATCAACGCCACTAGTAATTACACAGAAGTTTATTTTAAATCATTTAACAGATACCTCAGTACTTTTCTTGACACTTTTCCGAGTTGTTTGGGCGACCACAGTGTGCAGTCCAGCTTGTATATTTTGACTGATAAAATTAATGAATTCACGGAAAATTATTCGCACTAATACTCTTTTTCCCGTAATGACAATTCTCCATGGTATAATACTCACATTAGGCGCCTTTCTCACAAAAAGAAACGTTTGTACAGATCAGCTGAAACATTTGTTATGAATGAAGGATGGGCAGTCTACAAATGCGCTTATACGTAACAGCGCTTTACCTAAACTGAAGGTCATTAAAAACACATTGCCGTCCATGCTAACTACTGATACGTCCGTCACGGTTGATCGGTGGCTATAAAGTGCTCTACTGGCGACCAGAAGGTCACGGGTTCGATACCGACCGCGGTGGTCGCATTTGGGGGGGGGGGGGGATATAGTAGTGGATCGTGTACTGTGCGACATCAGTGCACGTTAAAGAACACCATGAGTTTGTCCAAATTTTTGGAACTCTCCACTACGGCGCCTCTCATAATCGTATCGTCCGTCGTTTTGGGACGTAAAACAGTAGTACAGTACGCTTCTCGTAGAAAAATTTGTCATGACAAGCTTATTTTACGTATCACGCAAGGATCTGCTTGGCATCCTTGCGAGTGTTCCAAGTTTGAAGGCTTCCATTACAGAAACGGCGCCCATACACCTTTTCACAGGAAGGAAAAAAAACACCGCCATGATGGGTTGTGCGCGGGAGTACAAAGGCTAAAGGCGCAGCGTTGTCAGTGCATTTTCGAGGGGACGCGCCAATTTGCACAGCCCAAAGAGGGCTATGGCGGCGCCCAGGGAGGCGTTTATGAAAAGGTGAATACAAAAGTGCAGGCTACAGCTGCCGCGTTGAACACGCCGTGCCCCGCGCCCAATAGCGGCACAACATTCGTGCCAGTAAACGCGCCCACAAATAACACGAATCGACAAGCAACGGCAGCGACTCTCTCGGTCGGCGAGGAAGTTAGCCGCGGCGCTGAAGCGCACTATCGCGTTTCCCCGCCCTAGCTTTCGTGCAGCTCTCGCATTGTGCTGCTCCGCCCTTGGACTGCTTCGACCCACGGAGGAAGTCCGTAGCTTCGACCGGATCCCCACTTTCCTATCTCCTTCTATTTTCCGTCGCTTGCCTCTCTTTATTCTTTAACTATTTCCTTCTATTCTTTTTATGCCTCCTTCCCCCCACACCTATAAGGCACGGCGCCGTGTCGCCTGTAGGCAGACAGAAATTAGGTGCCTTCTTCCTTTCTTTAAGAACCACTAACCAACCATATTTCGCGCCGTCAAGGCTCTCATACGGACGTGAAAGCAACGGCCGATCTGGCGGCGACTGCGCCGCGGTGTCGGTTGTCTTCACGCGTGCTGCACTACCTCACGCGCATGCCGTCTGTGGCGCTAAAACTCGATACCTTCGAGACGACGTAGTACGTGGCGCCGGCGCGTTCGGTTGGTGAGGCGCCATCCCGATCGGCAAGGTAGACGGATGACGTCATCTCAGGTCGCTGTGCGGTCGTTCTAACTCGCTCGTTCTCACGGTCGGGCACAGTGGAATGATCCAGAGGAACGCCAAAGAAAGGACTTTAACCTCGATCTGTACTGCGTTTCATAGAGCAGGCGCAACGCTGAGGGAGCTATAAACCTCTTGTAGTAGATGCGTTTGAACCAACAAATGGTTCAATGAACCTATGAACGTTATGAGATTTTTTCGTGTGTTTTCAGACTCATTGATAAATAGAACCTGCTTATAATGAACCTTTGTAGGACGAATTTCTCGATACAACGAAGTTTGTCTATTCCCCGCTTTTGCTTTATAAAAGCACATGTTTTTGTGACCTCTATGTAACAGAGTAACAGAAAGAGACAACCTCGATATAACCAATTTTGTCCACGAACAATCTAGGAATTTCGCCGTGGATTTTGATACGAGCATGCATCTTCCGCGGGTGCCCCGCCGCGGACGAAGCGCGAAGTGGCGTGCAGGCGCAGCAAGTGAGAGCGGGCGCTCCTGATTGCGCACGGGTGAGCGCAAGGCGGGCAGGTGCGGGCAGGTGGGCCTGCGCCCCACGAGCCGGTGTTGACGCCGTGGACGCATGCGCGGATGTGCCCCTTCGCCTTCCAAAAAAAAAAAAAAAACTACTTTTGCGCTGGCAGTGCCACCCACGCTTTTGGTTAGCGTCACATATGCGGAACTGCGCTGCATATGAAGAACCTTACCGAATAGTTTTCCGCGGTATCCGTGTCGGTGTCCGTGGCTTTCGCTCTTCCGTTTTCGGTGCAGTGTGCGCGTGCACGGTGTTTATCTTTGTTTTTTTTAGGGGCGAAGCTCCTTACGGCGTGGTTCTGTTTCTGTCGCTCCTCCTTCTCCGTATGTATGTATGTATGTATGTATGTATGTATGTATGTATGTATGTATGTATGCATGCAGCCACTGGTGGCACATACCCACTCTAGCGTCAATCCACGTCCGTCCGTCCGTGCGTCCGTCCGTGCATCCATCTAGTAAACACTAGGTACTGCCATCTCCCAACCCCTGTGGCACATACCCGCTCTAGTACTTGGAGTGTTCACTAGATGGATGCACGGACGGACGCACAGACAGACGGACGCATGGATTGACGCATGGATGTTCGCGCGGACGAATGGAAGCAAGAACGAACGAACGGACGGAAGCACGGACGGGCTGACCGACGCTTCGCCGCAATCATCATTCACTTCGTGGATATGCTGTGATTTTTTTTTCTTTTTAAATGCGGACAACCGTATCATCACCACCGAGGGAATGTCAGATTAGGCGCTGATGAAAACTATCCGTGACCACGGTGACGACGGATCTTCGGAGGTCAACTCGTCACACCGAGAGTTCGCAAGCTCGTTGGTTTCTTGATTAGGTTATTAGTTCTGGCACCAACACTATGGCACGTTGAATGCAATGCAATGAACGTGATAGCAAACATTTGTAATTTTATACGAAGTAGGGCTGGCAGCCAACTCTTTTGGATCCGATATCGCGAAACTTCTACCAAACGCTGCAGTGAGCAAATATGGTTGCTCCAGGGAAAAGTGCTCTTTTCACTCAGTCCCTTCACGTTGAAAGCGCACTGATACTTGCTGAGATAGGAAGCGCGCCAGCGATCCCGACTGTCCTAAAGGTCAAAGTTAATTTTTGCTGAGTGATACATACATACATACATACATACATACATACATACATACATACATACATACATACATACATACATACATACATACATACATACATACATACATGCATACATACATACATTCATACAAGACATTGTTACTGCAGTGAACAGTGTCCGATGCCCTGACGGGAACTACTGCCTGGACGGCCAGACCTGCTGCCTACTTACGTCGGGCAGTTTCGGTTGTTGCCCTTACCAGCATGCCGAGTGCTGCAGCGACCACACCAGCTGCTGTCCCGAGGGATACCGCTGCCGGATTTCGACGCATCAGTGCGTCCACGCTACAACCAACCACACCGTAGCCATGGCGCACAAGGTCAGCGCTGTCGCGGCTCAACCAGGTCAATTCGAAGTCTCTGCTAACGGTGAGCAACGGTGATTCGTGCCGGTAGAAACTACAGAAGTGTTGCCTCCTGCAATCAGTATTTTCATTATTACTTGCGGGCTCGGAGTGCAAGCGCTTTATAGGCTTACTTGCTTGGGGACCTATGTTTTCACTCGAAGCCATCATAGGGGATTGACCATCAAACTGGCGGTGCATATAACAAGGAAAAAGGAATTTAAAATTTTGATGAAGGAAAACAAGTTATTCAGTCATCTAGGAAATATAAAATTGAGCAATCATAAGGTTGCAAACGAATTGAGTAGGTACAGAACTATTAATTGAAATGAATAAATAAATGTGAATTCCATGAACTAGAACTTCATTAGGACTAACCTAACAAATAAACCTTCTTGTGTCTCTAAGAAATTCGAGAACTGCTATGCAGACTTTCCTGTTGCTGTGGCCCAGAGAAGCTTGAGGGAAAAATCATTTTCTAAGTTTAGAGTAATGCTTAATTTGATGAATATATTTAGATTCTAAGTGTTTTTGCCTGTGGCTTGTGAAACGTCTGTAAGAAAGTAAAAAAATTATCCATGTTTTCCGGCTGTTAACAGTAAAAGCAAAGGGGACGTGGTACCTGATCAGACCTGTATGAACGAAAATTATGAGACGCAATACGGCATCGAAATTTTGTGAAACACACTTCCAATTTGTTAAAGGGGCCACCATTTATTATACACCAAGCGAAAGAAATATGACAGTATTCTTGAACAGGTAACCTAATTTTATGGCATCTTGAAGTAAAGAGTATTTACGAAATCTTAATTCATTAAGAAAAAAAAATCACAGCATATCCAGGAGATGAAGGATGGCGAGTGGGCGAAATTCCAGTGGATCATTAACTACTCTACTTACTTTCTTTCCTATGCTCTTTCTTCCTTTCTTTCTTTCATAACGAAGTGCACTCTATGACCATGAGAGAGCTGGGAGCGAGGGCGTTTTATAGCTCTTGGGGCACCATTGCGAAAGAGACAGCGTGCCACGAGCGCACCCGCGATCATCATTTTTCTCTTCTACGTACGATTAGCCCGCTCCCGAGGGGCGCCCAAAGCGCGCGCAAGCGAGGAAAACGGACAACGCAAGGACAAGACTCTAAGGTGCTTCGCCCCTAAATTGGTATCAAGTACAATGGACATACCGGTGCAAGATGAAAAATCTGGAATGAGAAAAAAGAACGGATCTTTCTTTTCAGTGTGACTGAAAATTATTTCTGCATACGTCACAAAACTGTTGCCGCTCAAAGTCTATATTTGCGTGTTTATCTATCTTGCAGGCGGACAGGTCACACGGTACAAAATCAAGAGGCCAAAATGATAGAAAAGGACGGATTTTCTGTTGGAATTTAAAGAGTTATTTTGGATCATACCATATAATACTGCTATGAAAACGCCATTGGCCACCTTATCGTGCTTCTCATGCAATGATATTTGTGTTTTATCGCAAAAGCTGGTATGAGATCACAACAAGGATCGATTTTAGCTCCGTAGTTACCCGTCGCCACTGCCGCTGTTCGTAACCAGCTATCTCATGAAATCTTTTTAAAATGGCCCCATATCTGGGGGCTTCATGGCAAAGGACGTCGAAAGACGAAACGCCATGCGTAGAGCCACATTAGAGTCACAGTCACTCTACTGCACATTAAAGCCCCTAGATCTAGAAAGTAGCGACACTCTCCTCCGCGCGCGCGTTTTCCTCCTCAATTCTCCTCGGATTTCTCCCCTCTCCCGGCCGGCGCGGTGCGCACGGCACGCTGAACCCTCCACTGGCTCGCTGCAGCCGCATTAGATTCAATGCGCGCGCTTGTTTAATCGGCTCCTTGAAGCATTATACGAGAATATGTCCCTTAAGAAAGAGTCGTGACGAAAGTAGGCTTCCCATAGAACATTATGGCAGACATAATTTTTAAGACGATTTGATAAATACGAGCGGAAGCGCTTCGAAAAAATGAGCATACCAGCTGGCGGCTTAGCGGTTTACCTCTCCGTCGCCGCTTCGGCTGTCTGTAACGCGGATGTGTATTAAGCGCATGTAATGTAGGCAGCACATTGTATAGACGAGAACTTGATAAGTGCTGCAGTGTCGCTTTGTAAAATTCATGTTGTGTTGGCGAAAAGCAAGCATAGAAGTCACCGTGCGTGCCTGGCTTCCGTCACGATGAAACGACGAGATATTGCATTCCATTAACTTTGGGACTTACCTCAGTCTGTTAAAAAAAAAGCAAAACCTACCGCTCAGATGGAAGCTTCTAAGACTATGTTACGCTATAATTAACTCACAGAATTCAGGATGTAAATTTTATCAGAAGAGAGCCATTACGAAAAGCGCGTACGTGGCTCTTTCTTTATATGAGCATACACGCATAATACATACAGTACAGAAACGCGCGAACACACAGGCGCACACATACACACACACATAAGCGCGCATATGCAGTCGCATACATACACACACGCATACACGCAGGCGCACACATGCACACACATAAACGCACACCCGCACGCACACACACACACACACACATGCGTAGGAATTACACACGTTAATTTACAAATTACACACATTAAGAAAACTAACGCACGCGCTAAAACACAAGAAAACTATCTCAGGGCACAGAGAATTACAAAAAAAGCTCAGCGACTCATTCAGACCCAGCTATATCCATATTTATATGTGCTCGCTATTAAACTGAACGGAGAGTCCAGCGATGCAAAGAGCATTAAAATCTTCTTACGACTTTATCTAGAGATTTAACGAAATCGGTAACACTAACCTCGCAAAGAACGACGTGTTTAGAAGGGGCGAAGTCCTTTCTCCCGATGTTGTGGATCCACTGCTTTCTGCGCACGGCATTCCTATTCCTATCTCCTCGGGGGATATAAAATAATCTTACTCCTTTCTCTGACCTGCTGCTGCACTGATACGCGCAACAGCCAGGCATTGCCACGAAAAACGAAGCTCACGATTCTACGCAAAAAAAAAAAAAAAAACACGTTTAGAGCGGCAGGGCTGGCGTGGCGCCTGGAGGGTTCATGGCGTGCGTGATTGACGAAAAGCGCGCGAAGTTTGCTTGCGCGCGCTTTTCGTGACGTCAGGGTCATCTGACTGGGCGGTATCGCCCGCCGCAGCCATTCAGCGCTTGGGATGCGCGGGCTCCGCGAAAGAGGGGGTGAAAAAAGAGGAGGTTGCCGGCGCGCCGAGAGAGTGCCGGCGTGGATAAAGGAGCGTCGCTACTTTCCAACATCTAGGGGCTTTACTGCACATGACATATGGATGCCATCTGGCAGTGATGCCAAGAAACGAAAGTTTTCCAGAACGGGGAGCAGCTGGTAGGTGGCAGCACCGTGTCATTTTAGGGAAACTTAGGAAACATTTGCTCTTTCATTCATAGGGCTCTTGTTGTGGTCTCAATACACCTTCTCTGTGAGGGCCTCAACTACCATCACCGTCACCAGAGTCACGACTGTGATTATTGAGTAGCTGCTTAGGAATGGCTAGGTAGGTGGCGGGTGTAAGTAACGAATAACAGCTACCATTGGTGGTATTTGTCGCCCACGTTGACTCTATTGCTTGTTATTGTGATAGCAATTATATGAACACTCTCGGCTATTTTTGCCGTTGCTGTCGCTGTTATGTTTGGGATATATACATGTTATATGTATCGGTAAAGAATATAAATGCATCTACAATATCAAGATAGGTGAGCATTCAGGATGTGGTTGAGCTTTGGCAGGTTGGCTGTATTGTTTCGTTCGAGAGACAGACAGACCAAAAATTCTGTGTTGAAGTATCCCAAGAAAGACTATCGTGTTATATATTGTCCTTAAAAACTAAAGACAATAGACTGGAATTCGCACCCGGGCCCTCTTAGTGGCAGCCCAGTATTCTACCATTGCACTGTGCGAACGTGCACTGCGCGGACTGAACAGTTGCATTTAGGGTCCACGCTGAGCAGACCCTATGCAGGCTTCACATCGGGAAAGGAATCCTGCTGACGTGCGTAATAAAGAGTCTCAGAACAGCAAAATAACATATATATTGGCGTCACACAGTACGAAGCTCGTATCGAGTGGGTCTTTGACTGCTCTAACCCATTATCATAGAGTAGAGTAAATCCTGAAATCTGTACCGTACTCCCACAATAGTTTCCACATAATTCTTCATCGTGGTTAGTCAGGGTTGCTTAGCCATGGCTCGGCAGGTTGCGGGTGGGAGCAAAGAATTGCATTTGCTACTGGTGGTATCAGTTGCTCAGATTGACGTCATCGCTCTAATTGGAAGAGCGAAGGTCAGCGCACAAAACCCCCCACTATTTGAGCAAATAATAAATAAAACATAATGTACTCCCAGGATCAATAAAGTACGCTGAATGCCTTACAAGTGTGTAGCGGTTACCACACTCCTCCTACGAATGACGAATAATGGCCCAGTGGACTTTCCCTATAATACACAAAAACAATTATTATATATAGCATAGTAGGTACCATGCAAGTGTACTTGTTGTAGTTGCCCCAAGAGTGTTTTTTCTAAGACCAAGACCTTGCTTTGAAGTCAAAGTTTCCCTAAGTACATTCAAACTCGCATCTGTCTGCTTCGCAGATCTGTTCGATGAGAACATCCGTTGTCCCGATGGAAACTACTGCGAGGATGGCCAGACCTGTTGCCTACTGAGAAGCGGCCAGTACGGCTGCTGCCCATACCAGTACGCGCAGTGCTGCAGTGACCACGTAAGCTGCTGTCCCGAAGGATACCTCTGCAAGATATCCACGCATCAATGCATCCACACGGTCACTAATCACACCGTGCCCATGGTCCAGAAGGTACAACCTGTTCGGCGACCTCAGGGGCAAGCGTCTGCGCCTCAGGTTGACGGTAAAGCATTCCTACCTCTGCTTTCTCTATTCTCTTGTTAATGAATGGGTAGCAAGCTTGCACAAATTTCACTTGGCACTGCAGAATTGAAAAGGGGGAACAAATTAATTTTATTCTGAGATAGGGCTCAAGAAGGGCGCTCTCCTGCCCTTGCTTGCAGGCCAACACCTCTTCAGTTTGTTCTGGGTGTCTAGGTCCGAGAAATGTAATACAGAGGCCCATGCTTCCAGTGAGGTTATGGCCAAGAGGAGAGAGGGAGAGTGGGTAACCTCGCCGCATCATTTGCTGAGCTGTTCGTCGTATACATGCACGATACGTGAAAGAAGCTAGGGAGATCTGAAGCAAGTGGTTAAAAGCCACCTCCAGCTGACCTCCTGGCTCAGCTTCAGAACTTTGTGTGTGTGTGTGTCTGTGTGTGTGTGTGCTTGCGTGCGTGCGTGCATGTGTGCGTGTGTGTGTGTGAGAGAGAGGATTTCATCTTTTGGTGAGGCAAACAGTAGTATTGGGTTCGAACATCCTGTCGTACAGAATCACTGTAGGCTTCAGTGTGCAACGTTTACCTGTTTTCAATCAACAGCGCTGCTTTATGGAAGTGAAGGCCAGCTAACTAATCGAACAAGCAATAACGTGGAATTTTTCAAAACACCTTTTTCAACTAGCAATACAGTGCTCAAAATCAGTAAAAGGTGCCTCCACTGTATGCCAATATATTTATCGACGCAAGTTATACATGGTCTCAGCGGTAAGAAAGAAGGAAAAAAAAAAGAGAAAGAGAAATATGGTATGGAGAAAGGCAGGGAGGTTAACTGGAAAGCAAGTATCTGGTTTGTTACCCTGCTCTGGGGAAGGGGGAATGTGTGACAGAAAAGTAAGTAAAACAGAATGAGTGAGAGAAAGAGAGTGGGAGGAAGCGACAACAGAGAGACACACACACTAGAATGTCACAATCGTTCGATGAAGTGGGTCAATCACAGAAACTTCAGGAGGGCCTTCGTTGCTTTTCGGCGTGAAGCTCAATTTTTCTGGCCTGATAGAAATGTGCACGTGACTGAGCGCAGGAAACGCAGCAACATAAGCTTAATTATCATACACAACGTGTCTGCTTATAAAGAATGCACATGCCATAAAAGTTTGAAATTGCCGATTCTCAGACCCTCATGTGGTATGTGCTTGTGTGTGAAAAAATGACACCCACATCTTCCCACGAAGTGGAACTCGAGTAAATGCATCACAGAGTGGTGGGGGTATCACGTAAATGTTGCATAATTGGGTATATAGTTTGAGAATGTTTATTTGTTATTTTTCTTTATTATTATTATTGATGAGTATCTTCCAACTAGCCTAATTTGATGAGTATATTTCAAGTAGCCCAGTTTGATACTTTACTTAATATATGGGGTGGCTAGTCAGCGGTTGTGCAGCTCAAGCAGTCAGTTTTTACTAGCAGACGCTGCCTACGTCGGCCTTGCGAGGCGAGAGGGGTGGGGAGCAAACAGTTGGCACGAGACGCAAGCATGCAGCACGATACGCGAGGCGCGAGCATGCGCTGTGGGGGTGTGGACGTCGCCGCCGATGCACGACGCGTGACATTGTGTGACCAAGAAATGCTCCGCATTTGAAACATTTATTGATCATGAGTTTGCAGGCCCATAAGGACCCTTTACACAAAGGGAGTCCTTATTCCTGGACACTGCTGGACAAGGTCGCAACCCGCGCCGGTTTGACTAGAGCTCTTTGAGCCTCCATTCCTTAGCAATTGAGTAGGACTGCCTCCCATGCCTCTCGGGTAGGGGAATGGTTAGAAAGGAGTAAAAAATTCATCTGAAGTGCCCACACCATGTGAAAGTTATTGGAGGCTTCCCCACAGTGAGGGTACCGCCCATTGACTTTCGTGTCAAAATGCTGGACACAGCAAGGTGTTGGTCTGCAGGCACCTTAGGGTTCGTTCATCGGCCTTACTCAGGTTCTTAGCAGGCACTGGGAAAAGCTTATGTTGTTTGCAGTAGTACATACAGCAAAACTTCTCTTATTCCCAAAAGCAGTTGGTTAGTCTCTGAGTCTGGAAAGCCTGGGTGAGGTGCCAGGTGGTTAATTTAAGCGTACGGGCGGCTTCATCCGCAGCCTTGTTACCTCTTGGGCCCTGTGGCTTGGTGTCCAAACAGTGCGATTGGGGGGGGGGAGGGGGGCGCGGGGGTCTGAATCTCTGACTGCTCGCTTCAGAGCAAGTGCTTGCAGTGCCACCCAGAGAGAAAGTGAGAGTAAAAACGACTATGAAATAATGGTGGTAAAATTAACAACTACGCTGTGCATGTAGGTGGAGATGGATATTTAGCTAAATATATTTGTGACTTGTTTGTCTGTTTCCCTGCACGAAGTCTGAAATAAGAAGACAGCTGTAGGTTTTTCTGAAATACACTTTGACCTACCGCTTCGATGATTACGTGAACTGCCAAATGAATAAGTGCATTTGTCATAAAAGAGATTGATCATGAATGTTTTTGTTAGAAGTAAATGTAATGAAACTAATACTCTCTTACAATTTTGGTTATGTCATGCGACCAAGCAGTGTCAAAGGACCGAAAATTTAATAAGCCATCATGCAAGGTAAGAGAAGAAGAGGACACCCATGCACAAGGTGCTGCGAACGGTACTCTTTAGGCCACAGGTAAACGTCTGGATGAGTTGAAAGAACTGGCTCCAAATTGATCTCACTAGTGTTTTTATACTCATGGTGATGCCAGCAGTCACCAGCGACCCAACAGTATGCGAAAGGACACTGAAGTGATACAGTAAATTAGTTTAGTCTAATAAATTACACTCAGAGAACCCTAATGTCACTAATTTTGCCATCTTAGGTTTAATATTTGATGAGGAAATCAGCAATAAAAGTGCTGCTTTTAAATTTCTCTTCAACGTTTCGAATGCTGTCATTTTTTTTGTTCCGAATTTCGAATTTCAAATTTCTTTTTGTTATATTGGACACACTGGCTCACGAAATTTCCTGGAACTTAGTATGGTAAGTCCCGGGCTGTTTTAGAAGACAATATTGACACGTTGTGACAATATACTTCAATTTTTGCTAAATAACAACTTCGGTCTAAGGCCATAGTAAACATAGGCATTGAATGATATAAAGGGGGTGTTTACCTAGTGCTTGGCAGTGCTTTAATTGAACAGCTTACTCAGACGGGAGCGATCACTGCTTAAAGAACGGCAAAAAGAGTGAGTGAGGCTTGCATAACACCACCCTCTCCTCGGAAAAGTAGTCTAAGACGGGGTGCAGTTGTAGTTCATGGTCGATGTTCTGGTGACAACCTTCAAATCACGCTCTACTGTACATATATAATGCATGCAGTGAACTACACAATGGTAGAGGTGAAAGCAACGTTTGCATGGTTTCGCTCGACGAGTGGGTACAATGCGCACGCCTTACGTGCAGCCGAACTCAACCAGTGCCCCGACGGAAGCTTCTGCCAGGACACCCAGACCTGTTGCCTGCTGAAGTCGGGAAGATACGGCTGCTGCCCCTACGCACATGCAGAGTGCTGCAGCGACCACACCAGCTGCTGTCCCGAAGGGTACCGCTGCTTGGTCTCTACGCAACAATGCATCCATGCCGAAAGCAATGGTACTGCACCAATGCTGAGGAAAGTCGACAGCATCACTCTAGAGTCGACTGAGCAATTACGACTGAAACCCGATGGTAAGAAATGCGGTTTAAGAGGAACGCCAATCGATTTTTTGGGTATTAGTACATTAGCTACTCTTTAAAAGTTACAACACCACGCTTTCGGCAAGGTGACGCTTGGTAAGCGAAAAAATGTTCGATAAGGGAATGTGGATGGTTATGACACTTTGAAGTTCCAGCACTAAAGCAGTGATGCTATACATTTTAACGCTGTCTCCTAGGTTTCATGCAGTTCTGAATCTGTAATAGGGAAGTACATTGACATTTCAAGTGGTCACGGACTCACCAAGTTTCAGGTTACTATACCAAGTTTCAGGTTAAAAATGCGCATTTCAGGTTAAAAATACGCATCACCAAGTTTCAGGTTAAAAATACGCATTGAAATTGATGATGTCCCAGGAGCATTTTGGTTTCATACGAAATATAATGATTAAACTTTGAATTTTTCTATATTGGCAAACCTACAATGGCTAAATGAACTTTGGAGACCTCAGAGTATAATTTCTCAATCTAAATCAAGTTGTTGTTACACCTTAAAAGGGCCAATAAAAAACCCCAAGCTCTAAAAATTGTTGTAAAGAGAAATATGCGCACTTTTATTTCGTGAACAAGCTGCCAAAAGATTCTGAATACGTGCTATATTAAGAAAGTTACAGGGGATAGAACATCACATTCAGCTGGTTTCAAATTTCCCCGCGATCTCATCACCCTTCTCGTTCAGAGGAAGGAGAAGGTGTGGCCTGTCGTCATGACTCCGCCCACTTCGGAATATACTCTTTCGATTCGGTGACATCACGCGTGCACACTTTGTCATAAAATAAAAAATCGATGCGTTGACCTTCATTTCATCGTCTATTAATAAATTTATGATTGTGAAGATAACGTTGCAATTCTCACAGTAAAATTCATCAGTGTAAACCGATTTGGTGCTTCACTTCAGTGAATTTTTAAATACGGAATCCACTGGGGTTCCTGCGGAGGACGTCTGTGAATGGGAGAATTTCAGCCTCTCGTTATTTTCAAGCACATGGCATTGATTGCTTTCTAAACATATAGAAGCGCGCCGCACGACTGTAAGCATCAAAGGTTTTGTTTCACATTGCCTCCAGAGTCGGTGACGAGTGCATTGAATGTAGTTCTTCTCCTACAACTCCCGTATAATGACACAGACATGAGAATTTGTCCAGCATATAGAACATTTAGCAGAGCAATGATGGTTCGCAGAGCGATGAATGCGTTTGCCATTCCCATCTACCATCATGAGCTGCAATAACGATTCTAAGGTGACATCAACATTAGTGCTTAACGTGTTGTTTCCAGCAATGCAGAGATTTATAAACCGGTCTCGTTTCTATCATGAACTGCTTTGAAGGGAACTATTGAATTCGAATATTGGCTCATATGCTGATACAAAGCTCCTTTTGCTGCACGTCATCAACAGCAGTGAGACATTGTCGCAGCACCCAATTAAGGAATACATGGTGAAATGGCCTGTCACCGTAAAGGACGCTTGTTCTTCGAATGGTAGGCACATATTGAGAGAGGTTTACAAACTGTTTCTTGTTAAAATGTAGCATGCTTTCAAACAGCTAAGTGTGGCAGGGCAAAGTGGTGAGTGTCGATATGCTAATAAAGGCTATGGTCTGGTAAAACTTAAGATGTCAGGAGAGACCCCTGCCCAAATGACCTTAGTTCGACTGCTAGGCCCCACCATATACATACATACATACATGCACACACACGCATACATGCATGGATGTACACATGCATGTATGCGTGTGTACATCTGAATGTATGTACGTACATACATACATACATACATACATACATACATACATACATACATGCATGCATGCATGCATGCATGCATGCATACAAACAAACAAACAAACAAACAAACAAACAAGACATTGTTACTGCAGTGAACAATGTCCGATGCCCTGACGGGAACTACTGCCTGGATGGCCAGACCTGCTGCCTACTTACGTCGGGCAGTTACGGCTGCTGCCCTTACCAGCACGCCGAGTGCTGCAGTGACCACACCAGCTGCTGCCCCGAGGGATACCAGTGCCGAATATCGACGCATCAGTGTGTCCACGCTACAACCAACCACACCATGGCCATGGTCCAGAAGGTCCGCGCTGTTGCAACTGAGCCAAGACAATTGGAAGTATCCGTTAATGGTGAGTTGCAGTGATATGCTATGAAAGCGTTCCCTTTTGCAATCAATATTTATGTGGTTTTGGATGGGCACATATGGCATGCGGGACGTAATCAGGAATCAGGATTGAGAAAAGCAAATTGATGTTGCCATTGTATGCATCTGAACCTCACTTGGGCATGTACTGTGGCACCCACATGAGAACGTAACGAGACATCAGATTGCATGCAGGCACAATTGTATGCTCAGTGAGTATGTTCATCAGCTATAGAGACGTGGCCGCCCTTAAATTAGTTACAATGGGTTAAAACGCGGCAGTAGAAAAAACAAGAGTACTAGACGCCAAGCAGCTCTTTTGACTAGCCTGTATAACGCTGTCCCTTCGTGCATCCGTACGAATGCACTGCAATGCACTACCCTCGCCACAGATGTTGGGAGTGGTGCCAAGTAGGTCACGCCCCAACTGCGCGTTGACGTCATGGTCCTCTCACAGTGCACTCTGACGTCACTCTCCCCATTGCCTGCCACATGGTCACCGCAGCGCCCGCAGCTGCCGTTTCGTCCATTCGCCCACAACACCTGCTGCCACCGCTGCTCGCTTCGCTACCATGACCGCCGCTCTCTACACTGCCGGCTCGTCGGTTCGCGCCCAATAAACCTGATGTGCATCTAACGTACGAATTGAAACATGTTGTACTTGTCTCTCTCTTTACCCTCTCCACTGTTCGCAATGCTCGAGCACACATCGATTGGTAGCTCTTTCAGCCAGTTTATCTGTGATGGAGAGGACGCAGCAAGACGATGCTCCTTCGCCTGCCGAAACATCCACCAAAACGATTAGGCCTATCCTGGCCATTGCCGGCGTTGCGAAGGTTGTGGAAGCCGATCGCCTTCGTGTATGCTGACGTCGTGCCTGCAACATCGCAGCATCTGCTTTAGCGCCGTTCAGCCCCTGACGCAGCCCATACGCAATGCTGCTGCTACACATTCCACCACGGTTCCCTTTGGGGAGATGTTTCACAATCTGCGCCCACATTTTAGTCATTCTAAGTACCACTGTTTATCTGTTTTTCCAAACTGAATGTCGAATACCTGACAGAAACTATCCATATGTGAGGCATAGGAAAAGCCTTCTTAGAAAAGGGCAACATTAACAAAGATTTTATTTCCACACCTAATCTCCGCTTTATTATTATTCACTTCTTGGTTCATGCTGGAGGCTAGATTTCATTACGGCGGCTCACTAAATCAAGGGGGAAGCTTAGACCTTTAGTTTTTGGGTTTGAACAATCCAGAGTGACTCAGCGCTATGGGAGACACCGTACACGATGCTGTGTCTAATTCTTGCTTGCTCAGTTATATATTGAGAAAACAAGTATCCCCCGAGTTGCAATTTTTCGCCAGGACGGCTAATACACTGCGGGGACGGATCAGCATGCTTCGACAACCAGACCTGCTGCCAGTTGTACGACAAGTCGTATGACTGCTGTCCCTACCCAAGAGCAACTTGTTGCGAAGACCAGGACAGCTGCTGTCCAGAGGGATACATCTGTATAATAACCTTGCATAAGTGCAAAAAAGCGAGCACCGGAGAAATGGTGCCCATGCATTATCCACCCACTGCTCGAAGAGACTCGTCGAAGACAGTGACCGAACCGAGTCTTCCAAATGGTAAGAGAAGGTGGTCAAACACTAACCAACGAAACTAACTCCACTAATGTCTTTCATCGTTGTCCCGTTCCGCATGAAGAAACGTGTCACTTGATGTTGCTGAGAGAACAGCGTTGATGTTCTAACATGAGCTCATTCTATGGAACCAAACGCTACGTGGTTCAACTTGTAGCCTGTTCGCATGAAACTAAAAAAGGGAGTTTGAACAGAGTGCGTTGAAAGTTGTAGTCCCGGCGTGTGCAAGTCCACCCTTGCTTGTACTAATAAGCCATCGCCACTAATACTAGCACTAAAACAACGCATTTGTCTGAATAAAACTGTCTCATTAGCTGCACTGACCCATGGATACAACGCTGCTCACAAGTGGATGGCAAATTTTGGGTAACATCATATGCACTACAATAGATACCCTACACAAGGGTGTGCTAAGAACAAGAAACTCGTGGATGGTCGAGATAAACCGCATCTGAAACTTCAGTGAGACTTAACTGCTGCGGTGAGACTTTGCCTTCCTCCCTAATGTAGAACACCGCGCACACCTGTGTTATGTGAGGAACGCTGTAGTGGAGGGCTCCAGAAATTTCGGGAAGCTGGTGTTTTTTAACGTGCACCTAAATCTAAGTACACATGCATCTCGCATTTTCTCTGCATCGAAATGCGGTCATCGCAGCCGGTATTCGATGCCGCAACTTTTCTGTCAGCAGTTGAGCAGTAGACCACCGTGGAGGATATCCGAAAGTGTTCATCACTTTCACCTTCTTTGTGAAGAGAAAATGGGTTGCGATGAGTCACTGTTCTAAATAGGGCCTGCATTACGGCAACTGCCATGCTGAAAGAAGTTCAGCCTTTTTGTGTGACTAAAAACGTATCTTATGAGATCGCACTGATGCTGCGGTACAGCATCGAAAAGTAGTGAAATTTAGCCTGGCTCTTTCTTGTAATAACTACTGGAATATTGTAACTAACACCGTGCTTGTGTACCACATTTGTAAGTGTGAACTCATCCACTAACCTTTTGAAATAGCCACGTATTGTGTGCAGTAAATGTGCGGCATTACCACAAGCACTACTGTGGAGAGAGAGGGCGGGGGACAGTAATACGTGCTGTGCATTCAGAGAGAGTAAAATCATTATCAGATTGTTGCCATCAATATACCCTCACTGGAAAGTCGTACGTGAGACCCAACTCTTGAACTAAAGTCATACACGGCAACCTGGGACTCACCCAAAGTAGTTGCACATGCCCCCCCCCCCCCCCCCTTTTTTTTTTTAAAGGCGAAAAACTTTATTGGCTCGTACTCGCGGCATCCGACCATCTATATGTCCGTCCGTTTCCTGGAACGGTGCCAGCTTTGGCCTCTTCAGCTCGCTCTTTCTCAGTAGTCACATGATGGCACAGCGGTGCGCGCGACAACGCAAAAAAAAAAATGACAGCATAAAACGGAAACAAAAAGACATGACATAGTCAGTCGAATGACCACACCCTTTGGAATATACAGTGTTATTCCAATTTTTTTCTTATAGTGTAATAGACACGCCGCTTGAAGTGCCTCTTCTCTCAGCACATTATAAATCGTGCCTTCGGTCTCCCTTCCCAAAGCTATCACGTGCCCCGATGGACACAAGTGCCTAAATGGTCAGACCTGCTGCCCCCTGAGCAGCGGTCACTACGGCTGTTGTCCGCTGCCCGAAGCCGTCTGCTGCTCAGACCACAAGACGTGCTGTCCCAATGGCTACCAGTGCCAAGTTGGCACGCAGACATGCCAAAAGGGTGACAATACAGTGGCTACGTTACAGAAGCTGCCGGCCTCCACGGGTGCCGAGTTGATTGAAGTGGCTGGTACGCCTTGAGTGCTTATTGATTTCGACAGCTGTTAAAGGGGACATGAAACACTTTTTCAAGCTTCGTAGCCCCTTCAAGTCAGATTTTCTGACATGAGTGCTGCATTTCTATGTACGAAATGCGTATACAGAAATCGCATTTTGATGAGACTTTAGTGAGCAGTGATTGAACTGCTTTTGAATAACACTGTACAAGGAGAGAGAAAGGAAGGAACGTAGTTAGGCTAACTAGACACCCATCAGGTTTGCTACCCTAAGCCGAGGGAAATGGTTTTAAGAAGACTTTGTGGTGTTCGCGTAATGCTTAACACCGCGGTCCACCGATTTCTTGTGCGGTACTTCTTTGTGTTCTAGTTCTTCTAACAAATTCCAAGAAAGGTAGAATTCGTGGCGAAAACAACAGCAAAAACATCATGCATGCTCTATGGAGGGAACATCAACATCTCAACGTTTGCCACATATTTCTCCATGCAGCTTCCGCCAGACTTGATTGCACGTTGATGTATTCCAGAGTTGTCTCTAACTGCTGTGCGAGACTGCATTTTTTTTTCTGTTTTTCCAGACACTACAGAAAGCCGTACTTCTGCCCTCACTTCAGCTCAGGGTAAGGGTCAAAGAAAATACATTCATGCTATGAAACATCCCCATTATTGATAGTGGGCTGTGGTTTTTTAAATTTTATTTTGATGTAGCTAAAGGGCATAGCTTAGCAGGTTTCAGCAGCATTTACTCAGCAACTACCACAAATATGTAAGCACCTGATAATCTTCAATAAACTGTTGTAATGGGTTGCAAGGTGCAAGTTTGAGAGACAGTTGATTTTTTTTTTCTGTTAAAAAATTCATGGACTTGTTCAAGAATATAATCTATGCTATCTATCTGCTTATACTTATGTATGCCAGTTTTTTTTATGCCATCACTGCTTGCTGAACAGTAATTGGCTGAGAACCTTTAAGCTCACAAGAGCTTTTTCTTTCCATTTCCTCTACTTCCTGAAGTAGCAAATAAAACAAGTGATTGATTGATTGATTGACTTTAGAGACAGTATATGTTACGTACAGCCCAGATGAATCGGGAGTCTATATTTGAATGTAGGTAGAAGCACACTGGTACACAGAGGCCAGGATTTTTTCTGTGATGATCACTGTGGCGATCTTCCCATTGCATGCAGCCGAACTCCTCAAGTGTCCCGACGGAAGCTACTGCCAGAGCACGCAAACCTGCTGCCTCCTTGTTTCCGGCCATTATGGTTGCTGTCCCTACGTGCAGGCGCAGTGCTGCAGCGATCACACCAGCTGCTGTCCCGAAGGCTACCGCTGCAAGGTGTCCACCAAGCAATGCGTCCACACCACAAGCAACCACAGCGTAGCCGCCGGTCAGAAGGTCGACCCCGTGATTCCCAAGTCGGCACTTGTGTCACCTAGGCCTAATGGTGAATAGGGAATCACTTCCTCTCTTGGGCTGGTGCAGTTCTCTTTTATGAATGTATGCTGTTCCTCAGTCCTTTTGCCTGTTAAGGCTTGGGTATTCTTTGACCCTACCCCGGGCCCGTAGCCAAAGAGGAAGGATGCTAGGCTAGCCCCGCCCTCCCCTTCTAAGGATTCATTGGTGTTCCTATCAAAAATAAATGATGAACTATGTGTTCCCAGTTAGCTAAGGCTTCAGCAAGTGCTCCCCTCTTCCCCTCCGAAAAAAATTTTGGGCACGAGCCTTGTCCTACCCTATAAATCTTTGATTTTACGGTTTCTAAAAAAACTTCTGCACAGAATTTACCATTCTACTGTGTTATTTCATGCGCCTATTTCTTATCATTGTTTCAAATGTTCGAAATTTTAAGCATCAAAGTTATTCAGGTATCAGTGCATTCCCACTTGCCGAATATTTTGGTCACTGCTCATTCTCGTTCAGTTACGTCTTTCATGAATTATTTCACACCTTCTGTATCATGCCTATGATGTACTTCTGTATCATGCCTATGAATAAGAGAAGTGTGTCTGATGAGTACCTGCCATGAACAAATCTCCTAAGCATGTGAGCTTACAATTAGCGATTGTCACACCTCAGTTAGAACTTCATCGAATATTGCAAATGACAGGATGGTCGCATTTTCAGTGAAGGCTCAAGTGCTTGAGCCTCATGAATTTAAGATTCAGCTTGTTTATTGGGTACACAGACCGGGCTTCACTCAGTTGACGGCTTTTGAGCAGTAGTTATAACGATATCCGTTCACATGGTTCGGATGCGTGTAGTTACTTGTATAGTTCAATCAGGACGGCTCATTCACTGCGAGGACGGGACAATGTGCTTCAACAACCAGACCTGCTGCCTGCTGCTGAATGGGACGTACAACTGCTGCGAGTATCCGCGAGCGACGTGTTGCGAGGGCTTCGACAGCTGCTGTCCCGAGGGATACACCTGCATAGTAACCCTGCAAAAGTGCAAGAAGGAGAGCACGGGAGAAGAGATGCCCATGCATCATTCTCGATGCAGTGTTCTGAGGAAAGCACCGAAGACGATGGCAAGGCTGAGTATTACATCTGGTAAGAATGCGAGGACCACATGAGTGATTATAAGCTAATGGAAGGGACTAACTTTGTCTGGAGATGTTTCGCCGTCGTCCCGTCCTGTCTACGAAGAGTCAAAGAGTTGCGTGGTATCACACGGACATGTGAGTCCCTGTTTTAACCAGTGCTTGCACTAACACGCTGAATGCTTCACTGAAGGAGGTTTCCCTGTACAACTGAACACGGGTCTTTGAAGACGTTCCTCCGAACGATCAAGATGCCGATGCTTACTCACCCTATAATCAGCTGCTGGCACTAACACTGCACTGAATGCATCTGCAAGAGCTAAACTGTCGTAAAATTGCTACATGCGTGCTGTTAACACTGTACCCAATTACAACTAAGAGTGAATGTAACCTCCACCCATAGCCGTTGCTTTCCTACCCAGTGACAATTTGCGTAGATTTCCTATCCAATCGCAATAATTTGCTTATTCCCGTAATGTCAAAACCTATAGCGAAGTTCAGGTAGGTAACTTTTTTAAACATATACATGCCTTTTTTTGCTGATTTTCACTCTAAAGCTAGAATTTTCTGCCGAACTTTTGTAAAAATTCGACAGCTGAGACAAATGTAATATAAGGGCAACAAACTTTTAATCCTTAGTATGTGTAGTATTTGTACCAAGAGCGAAAAAGCACTTGTACATAGTATATATGGTTAGAATGGAAACCACTTCGCATGACTTCCCTGCACCACAGATGATTTGCGGGTGCACCGTAGTTCTGGGGGTGGAGATTATATTTGTTCTTAAATTGTAACCGGCTATAGTACAAAGTATATATAAGTAACTCCAACCGCACTACAGCAGATTGTGTTGACACGTTTTGGATGGCCATGCTAACCACCGGGATTAACTAAGCCCAAAGACATTCGTCGTTGCTGCGATGTCCGATGGCCACAAAAATATGTCACTTGCTGCTGCAGAGATACGCGAGTGTTCTGACATACACTTACACCATGAGAATTTATGCTTGGTCAAAACTTTATTCTCTCTCTACCACTGAACACGAGTGTGTGAAAGTCTGGCACATGAAAATGTCAAAATGCGCATGCCTATACTTCTTCTAATAAACCTATAAACAAGGTGTTCACACAATACATACACAAATAATGTACTGTCATAACCGCTGCAGTTAACCGTAAGGAGTGCACTGTAGGCAACACTGCTGGGAAGTCTGTGCAACACTTTCAAGCAATGTCATCCACACTACAGGATAACGTACTTGCGTGCAAAGTGTATTAAGCACCGTGGCTTAGAGAGTTTGTGGGCTGGCATGGGCAGAGCAATGATACACTTTTACCGACTTCCCACTGTGTTATGAGTGACCGCCTTGTGTGTCTTGAAGCTCACAGCATCTGTCGTCGTCTCTCTTTGTGTTCATCTAAATTTCAGCCCTGTCTTCTGTCCACAGGGAACCAACTTGCCCAAGCCTTAACCCTAGCATTTGAGTACAGTCATCGTAGGTTTTATGACTGTATGTGCAAATAATAGTTTTATTTCCTTTTCTCTGACTTTTCTCGCATTTATTATAGCCAAAGATCACTCTCATGCTACTCCTATATGGCAGACCATAATCCGAACATAACCTAGGCTCTCATGCTATTCACATTCATATAAGTAAAAGAAAAGTACGCAGGGCGTATGTCAAGTGGAACATAATGCACCTATGGCAAATAGGGCAAAGTGGAAGACTGCATTGTTTACAGCAATTTATGAATGAAGCAGATCTACAGAAGCTTCAAAAATTAGAAGATGCAGACCACCAAGAGAAAACTGTCGTAATTTCTTGAAGCATGCATACAACAATTAGCCCAGCAACAAGATTCAATGAATTCTATAAACTTTATTTACTTGCCTGTTTGAACACAATGCAACCACTGTTCTGAGAAGGAAAAGAAAAGAAAAAAAAAACATGAATTACTCTTCAATGGGTCCTACAACACTTTGTATGGTGGTCAGTAAGTGCTGCCGATAGCCAGTAGGGGCTCTGACGAACAAGTGAGCCAAACTATATAGTTTAGCAGGCGGCATGGAATTTAGAATGAAATTTCAACGTCAGCTACAAACTGTTCACTCTTTTATGGACAGGTGAAGTCATTGTGTTTGGCTTATCACATCAGCTTCGCTTTCAGCCATTGGCTGATTTCACGACGCTCTTTGCTCACATCACCAGGCATTTTCAAATGTGATCATAATAAGTTCATTGACTCCTCTTACAGATGTCACATGTCCCGACGGCCACAAGTGCCAGAGTGGCCAGACCTGCTGCCCCCTGAGCAGCACTCGCTACGGTTGCTGCCCGCTGCCCGATGCCGTGTGCTGTGATGATGACCAGCACTGCTGTCCGCATGGCTACATTTGCAACGAGGGCTCGGGATCGTGCGAGTTTGGTGAACGCTCTGTGCCCATGGTCCAGAAGGTTGCGGCCTTTGTGGATGCCGCGTTGATCCAGGCTGCGAGTACGTATTCAGCTTAAGCATAGGCCTACTGAGGGTTCTCCATTGACAAAGAGGGGAGGTGGGGGCAAATTCTACCTCAGTGTATCCCCCACATCTGTTGGTTGAGTACAAAATACAATATGCTTCACAAGGAATAAAAAGAAATGGGCCGTGTATCTACATGCTTTGCTGCAAACGTCATCAAACGACGATAGTCTTCTGCCAGCCTTCTTTGATGCATAGCGTCGCATTTTCAGCGCAGCATAAGAAATATTACAGTCTTTAGAATTACGTACATATGTATTTTCTAGCAAAGTAACACACCAGGTAATACTTACGTATTGATTTTGCTTATTGATAGACAATGTTCACAAGTATAAATGCAGCCACCAGTTGAATATGGCTGGGCATTCAGCAAGGGCTTAAACTTTGGCCGCGTGGCCGAATTGTTTCGTTTGACAGACAGACAGACAGGCTAAAACTTCTACGCTCAAGTATCTCAAGAAAGACTACCGTAAGTCATAAAAAATGACAATGAAGTGATGATGTGTTTCTTATAATGTCCTCCCATTGGCCCTGTTATGCCTGCGAGTCCACAGCGAACGGCCGTGCCTTTGAAAAAGGCAATCTGTGTCAAGGCCAGTCGGCCTGACGCGATCAACAACTCAACGGCGCCTCTCTGGCGTGCACGTGCAGTGAGTCAGCCTCGGCAAGCGACCCGTCGAGTAAACAACTGGCGTCCCCATGTCTGGGGGTCTGACGCATTGCGCGGCGACCCCATTGGAGGAGTCTGCCCTGACGACCAGCGGCGCTTCTGATTGGACATTTTGGTTGGACCCGGTGCAAATAAAAGAAGCCCTGCGGCACGTCGCGATCGGCGGTCCTAGGTAAAAGCTGACATGTGTGTCAGAGCGGACCCGTTTGAGAGCAGACCTATGTGATAGAGAGGAGAGCTCGGCTCTTCGAGTCTCTGTCGGCCCCAGTGCCGAATTTGTAATGCCTCTGTATATATGCTGTACATAAACCTTGTTTAACTCACCGTCGTCTCGTCCGCTCGTCTTATCAGCTCTGCGCAGAAGCAGTCGCGAGCTGAGAAACATACGCTACCAAACGGCTGGTGACCTTCCCGGCGGAGTTGGAAGCAGTGGCGCCTTCGGGACCGTGTTGGCGTCGCCGTCTTTCGCAACAGTGGTTGGCAGCTGCGGGATCGGCCGGCGTCAGCGACATCGATGCGGTGAGTGCCTGATGTTTTCCCCTCAGTTCACCAGACTACTCTAGCTCAGGTTGTAGTAGTTTAGAGAAGGGCTGTGTGAAGCATTGAAGGGAGCTTTGATCGTTTCAAGCCAAGTCGAAGCGCTTTGAAACCAAAGTTAATGCGGAGGGGGTAAACACGGGAGTGTGAAAAATTGCTTGCGCGTCTTGCTAGTAGACTTATAGTGGGTACGGCAAGTAGATTTTTAACAGGGGCAAACAGAAAGAGGCTAGTGTGAACGATGGAGAACCTTAAAGTGAAGGAACTCATCGAAATTTGTGAGGAACTCGGCATTACTTTGGGCCGTGCGAAACGAAAGCAAGCGATCCTTGAGATCATGAAGCATGAGGGAGTGTCGGCTGAGGAAGTCGATGAGGCCTGGGTGGATATCAAAGCACACCGCGAGGAGGCTTAAAGGCGAGAAGCTCTCGAACGTGAGGAGGCTGAAAGGCGAGAAGCTTGTGAAGAAGCTGAAAGGCACGAAGCTCGCGAAGAAGCTGAAAGGCGCGAAGCTCGCGAACGTGAAGAAGCTGAAAGGCGCGAAGCTCGCGAACGTGAAGAAGCTGAAAGGCGCGAAGCTCGCGTACGTGAAGAAGCTGAAAGGCGCGAACGTCGCGAGCGCGAGGAGGCCGAGAGACAGGAGCGCCTCGAGATGAAACGAATAGAATTGGCAATCCTACAGTGTTCGCAGGCGCCTAGCGTAGCCTCTCCGACGATTCAGGTGAGCGGTTTTAGAATTCGGGACCAACTGCCACCGTTCGTAGTAGGCGAGGACATGGCGAAGTATCTCGTCAAGTTTGAACACGTCTGTGAGCGAAACGCTTTGGAGCGGTCTCTTTGGGCGCAGAACCTGTTAGCTCTTCTTCCCAGCGAAGTGTCCGACGCGATAACTTGCTTGTCGAGGGAAGCGTTTGAGAGCTATGACGAGCTTAAGGAAGTGCTCTTAAGACGTTATAAGTTGTCACCCGAGGCTTTCAGGCAAAGGTTCCGGTATGCTAAAAAGGGGAATGAGTCACACGTTGACATCGCGTTTCGTCTTAAAGCCGATTTAATTGAATGGCTCAAGGGCGAAGGTGTTTATGACGACTGCGATAAAGTGGTGGAATGCGTTGCATTGGAGCAATTCTACCGCTGCATCGAGGAGGATGTCAAACTTTGGCTGCAGGACAAACTTGGTGAAGTACAGCTAAACAAGGCAGCAGAGTTAGCTGAGGAGTATTATACTCGCCGAAAGTTGCACAGCAGGGCAGTGCACGTTGAGAAGAATGAGAGAAAAGAGGGCTTTTCAAAGAAACCTGATCAACGGAGACCCGCTCCACACCGTAATTTCAAGAAGGACCCGTCTCTTACGAAGGACAGTGTAGGGGAAAGGCAAACAGAAGCAGAGAAATCGAGTGAGGTTTCTACCACACAGGCATTTGAATCGGAAAACAAACGGAAGCCTCTAATGTGCTACAACTGCAAAAAGGAAAGACACATCGCGAGAAACTGTCAGGAAAAGTTTGCCTTCGCAACAATCCGAGAATCAGAAAAAAACATGCGGTTGTTGGAGCCGTATCTCCAAGAAATTAGGGTGAATGAGAAAACGTGCCGAGCACTTAGAGACTCAGCGGCAACCATGGACGTTGTCCATCCTTCATTGGTGTCTCCGGATGACTTTACAGGAGAATGTGCGTGGATCAGGCAAGTCGCCGAGGAGCAGAGTGTTCGCTTACCAATCGCCACGGTTGTCATTGAAGGCCCGTTCGGTAAGCTTCGCACCGAAGCGGCTGTGTCTGCCGCGCTAAATGATCATTTTCCTTATCTTTTCTCCAACAACTCAGAGCAGCTTCTCAAAGAGCAGGGCAAATCGTTCTTCCCCAACTTAGCGTGCATGGCCCTCATGCGATCGCAGGCGCGGGAGCTATCGCGGCAGCTTGATCTGGTTCAATGCAGTGAACTCTCAAGTGACCTTGTCGGCGGGTCGACGGAACCCCAGAAAGGAAATTTTCCGCATGAGTCATGTGAGCGGTCACGCGAGCGGCCCGTCGCGGAAGCGGCCGGCGAGGTATGCGTAGGGGGAGACGACATGGCGCCATTGAGTCAGAGCAAGAGGGTTGCAACGCTCTCGCCTGTAGCGGAAAGTTGGAGCGAGCTGCCGAGAGTTGATCGAGAGACGCTCATTCGAGAGCAGCGTGAGGATCTCTCGATTGAAGCGCTAGTGGAAAGCCACAAAAACGCGGCACAAGTGCTGTCGAAGGAGCACTACGAGAAATCGGGGAAGAAGTGCGCTTTTGAAGTTGATAATCAGGTAGTGCTGCTGCAGCCGTCCAAAAGGAACAAGCTTGAGATTCATTGGGAAGGGCCCGCCAAAGTGATATCGAAGCTTCCCGATACGAATTATGAAGTGAAATTAGAAAGGCGGCGGAACAAAATTTATCACAGTAACTTGAAAGCAGTCGTAAATTTACTTCTAAGGGCTTCAGAGGAAGAGGGAGCGGAAGTTTTGAGTACTAGTGAGGTAATCGAAGGGGGATCGAAAGTAATCTGGGAGCAAATAAACCTAGAGCCTAGGTTAAGTGAAGCCCGGAAGGAGGACCCGAGAAGGATTGTTTCCGAGTTTGGAGACATGTTTTCGGACCGCCCCGGAAACACGAGGGTGATCGAACACGATATCGAGCTAAGCGGTGAGGAGTCAATTCGTAGCAAGCCGTATCATTGTTCCCCTGTGCAACGTCGCAAGTGTGAGCCGCTCTTGGTGCCGCATAGGTATCGTCGCCTAAAAGCGGCCGGTTACTGAGGTGGAGCATGTTGCTCCACAGCGCAACTTTGACGTTCGCTATCAAAAAGAAAAAAAGGGAAAGCTAAACGCTAATGCAGGTGCATTGAGCAGTGCGTTCTAGCTAGTACCTTCTCAACCTTTCGGTTTCTCGCTGGCGATTCGGGGCAAAATTTTGACCTCATCACGACCTGGGCTGAGCGCTCTCGTTCAGAGTGATCTCAAGGGGCCAACTTTATGTGGTATTCTAATTCGTTGCGTTGTTGTAAGTGTGAAAAATTCAAGTTCTTACTTTAAGAGTCTTGTGTCCCACATGTGCCTCTTGATGTAGAGGGAACAAAATTCCGGTAGACACGTAGATAGGTATATGTTGTACTATACTTTGTCTGGTGTTCTGTTGGGTGACCGAGGGCACTTGCTTGTGTCGTGTGTTGTCTGTTGTCGAACCGCTCTTAGCAAGTTGCAGAACCATCGACAAGTGCTGAAACCGGAGATGGTCAGAAGAGACGAGCGAAATTGGCCAGCAAGTTGTGGCGACAAGCCAGTGGAGCTGGGATCTGTTGTCAAGAATGGGATGTGTTCCCGGAACAGAGTCTGGAGCTGCATTCTCCCCATGGCCCTGGAGGCGAACCTGGAGGGACCTGGCGAACGAGCGCGCCTGTCATCCGAGCCCCGTGGAAGCAGCTCGTCTTTTTTGCGCATTGTCTGGCGGCGGGGGTGCTGTTATGCCTGCGAGTCCACAGCGAACGGCCGTGCCTCTGAAAAAGGCAATCTGTGTCAAGGCCAGTCCGCCTGACGCGATCAACAACTCAACGGCGCCTCTCTGGCGTGCACGTGCAGTAAGTCAGCCTCGGCAAGCGACCCGTCGAGTAAACAACTGGTGTCTCCATGTCTGGGGGTCTGACGCATTGCGCGGCGACCCCATTGGAGGAGTCTGCCCTGACGACCAGCGGCGCTTCTGATTGGACATTTTGGTTGGACCCGGTGCAAATAAAAGAAGCCCTGCGGCGCGTCGCGATCGGCGGTCCTAGGTAAAAGCTAACATGTGTGTCAGAGCGGACCCGTTTGAGAGCAGACCTATGTGATAGAGAGGAGAGCTCGGCTCTTCGAGTCTCTGTCGGCCCCAGTGCCGAATTTGTAATGCCTCTGTATATATGCTGTACATAAACCTTGTTTAACTCACCGTCGTCTCGTCCGCTCGTCTTATCAGCTCTGCGCAGAAGCAGTCGCGAGCTGAGAAACATACGCTACCAAACGGCTGGTGACCTTCCCGGCGGAGTTGGAAGCAGTGGCGCCTTCGGGACCGTGTTGGCGTCGCCGTCTTTCGCAACAGCCTCTGGCTTTCAGGTTGTAAAGACCAGGAGTAAACAGCATTCTGGATGCGAGATTAGGGGCCTTCGGCTGCTAATACGTATTGCCAAAATCTGCATGGCCAATGCTCTTTAAACAATGGTGGGACAGGTGGTGCTGAGGAAAAGCAAGGTACAGACTTTGAGCTCCCACCTTTTTATTAGGTGACCCAGAGACTTGTGAAAAGGGGACGCCCTCTCTACCCCCTCTGCTGTGCCCACGCCTACGAGCGCAGGGCTGGCTGAACAGAAATGCGAAATAACCAAGCTCAGATCCCCTCCTCACAAAAAGGAGAGGGAGAGGATTCTACAGTAGACTCGCGATAATTCAAACTCTGATAATTAATACTTTCGGTTAATTCAAACAAAATTAAATTTTTCGGTTGGCCCTCTATTCTTCCAATGTCTTTAGAAGCCTCTTAATTCAAACTCCATCATTTTGTTAATTCATACTTTTTGCAGTTTTATACCAGAAAATAACTGCTGCTTTCCCAATACTGTTTAAAAATATGCGCGCTCATATAATCCTAACAGTCTAAAAATAAAAAATAAGCACCTCAGACCTTCAAGGAAAAAGGCTTTGCTAGTGAACAAATGCTTCAAACAAAGCGTATACATGTCAAACCGTGATGCTTCTCAACTGGTGCTGAAAGCACATATCTAGAGCAAAAAAGCAGTTGTCGATTCACCATTTCTTTAAAAAAAGTCACAGCTTTGCCGCAAAAGCGAAGCAAGGAACGTGATAGCGAAAAATCGGAAGGTCATGCGCAGAATGGCAAGCAGATTGAAACATGCCCTGCGTTTCTCACGCACAAAGAATGCACAGGACGTACTCTCAGTCACAGATGAACGCGAATAAGGGTCTCAGTTGTTACTTCGCTGTGTCTGAAAAGTGTGCCCTTTTCGCAAACGGAGGGTGTGAAACAATTTAAGGGACCTTTGTTTGCCTGGTAACAACAACAGAATTGTTCCGACAAAACTGAAAGGCTAGCCAAGATGTACGATTCTCCCCACTGCAAGATATAGGCGCGCGAGCGGCCGTACACCCCCTTCTTCTTTACGCGGGCCAAAATACCCGTCAGAGACGAGAGCCGCCGCTAGAGTGCCTCGATGCCCGCGCGCGCATCGAGGCCCCTAGTTGCCATGCGCTCACTGCGCCGTCTTGCTGATAATAGTCTCTACCCCCCCTCCCCGAGAGGCCTGCCAACTGTGGTAATTGGTAGATCAGAATAGCTTGCGGTTTGAACATTGATGGAGGTACCTCTCAGTGGCTCAGTGATTAATGCCTCGCATTCACGATGCAAAGCTCCCACCTTCCATTCCAGTCCACGTAGACACCGGCAACGAAATCCAGCCGAGAGTGTTCATATAAGTGCTATCATAATAAAATATGATCAGCAGTAAACGGCCAGTAAACTTGTGAACCTTACACCTCTGCTTTTTGTTCATTGCGTGAACTAGAGTTCAAAAATATATACAAAAATTTCAAATATCATAAAATCAATGCCTAATAATAATGTGCAGTGTTACCTCACCCAGAGCCATCTGTTGAGAACTTATAATAATTCAAACTTTTTGATAATTCAAACGAAATTCAGAGGTCCGCCTAAGTTTGAATTAACGAGAGTCGACTGTATTTACAGAAATGTAGAGAGGTTGACCTGAGCGATAGTGTGCTCTAGCCGGTGACGTCCATGGTTAGTCAGTTTAATCTCACGACTCTTTGCACTGCCTGGAAGTAACGAAAGGTCAACTCATGCATCACTCCATGAGTGTCGTTTTCTTTACTGCTTGTCCTTTCGTGAATTTCCTTGGCCTAGAAAGTCGAGGTATAGAGTCTTGTCTTCGGCGGCCGCATGTTTTCAGAGCCGACATGCTCAAGCCCCGTATACATAGATTAAAGTGTTTGTAAAAGAGCAATAGTCGGTCAAAATTGCTAGAACTCATCACTATGGTGTTACTCGTAATCATTTACTTATTTATTCATTTTTATTTAGTTATTTCAAATGTACTACCAGCATCTCATTTCAGGTCTTAGACAGGATGGGTAATATGTAAAAGTAAACACAAAAAAATACAAAAGAAATATCCTGCAGAAAAACTAATAGATCAAATGAAAACGTCGGCACTCACACACTTCAGAAGCTTTCAGCGTACACGCCCAACAAAAACACTAAGAAGAAAATAACAACAAAGCAATGATGACAAACATCTATTTAATGCGTAATATCTGAAACGTAAACGTCATATAAAGGGCGCAAGATCAGCATTACGCATACATGTTGATGACTCACGTAAATGTAATGTTTCATGTGAAAACATTTTAGGTGTATACGAAAAAGCGACATAAAACCTCACTCATTATCTTATCGCAAGTACTTATCAAGCATGAACAGTAACGAAGATCTATGCGCAGTATGCAAAGATTCATCGGGGTAACGCACTTTTTGTGTGGCGGGTCATCTTTTTCACCGACAGTACGCAACGAGAAATGCCCGGACGGCAACGAGTGCGACGACGACCAGACATGCTGCCAGCTGCGTAGTGGCTCGTACGGTTGCTGCCCCTACAACCATGCGGTCTGCTGCGACGACAAGGTCCACTGTTGTCCAGAGGGCTACAAGTGCGACACTCAGGCCGACAGGTGTATCAACGGGAATCTAACCGCCTCCCCGATGAGCCAAATCATTCAGAAACGCATCAGCAGACCCGCAAACAGGATCCCTGTGGACGGTAACGTGTACTTTTAATATATTGGAACATGTAGCACCTATACTAATGGGATGGTTGCCTTGCAATGGTTTGAGACACATTAAATTCTGGCGCATGTTGTCAGAATCGGCCTAATTGACCTTAATTGTCCTAAATTTGTCTTGACTAGGTTACTGATATGGCACAGCTGTAGGTGAATCCAACTCTCCATTGTCCGATTCGTTGCCAGCTAGACAAGGTTTGTAGTTATTCTAGCTCTGGTCGTGTGACCAAATAAGTCGCCAAAAACGCAAATAGCCACTTTGTTCCTGTTATGTCCGGTGTTGTCGTCGACCCATAGACGTACGCGTTGGTCGCAGTAGTCCAAAAAGCTCAGACAGCCTCGAACAGTTAAAAACAAGTTTATTCCTATTCGGATGGAGGCGGCGGCCGAACTGCCGGGGGAAACGAATGGTGGCTCGTTTGCGCCGAGTGGGGGAAGGGGAGGAGTCAACATCTGGAAGCAGTTTCAGCATCCGGTCCTTCGCGGGTTCGGAGGCTCGCTCGTGACACAGGGGTGCTTGGAACACAACAGTTCCTGAAGCCACTGTCTTGGCTCAGTTGTTCGCTGTTCAAATTTCCAGTCGTGTGACTGCGGTCTCAGACCTCTGAACTAGTTGAATGCGCAAGAACAGGATATCAGCCTTCTCTTACGGGACAACGGCAATATGAGCAGACGTGATGGTTCTGTTATACTGGCATCAGTCACATGATGGTGTGAAACGTCGGTTGAGAAGAGTCTCTTTTTGGTCGCGAGCAGCAAATGATGGAGTGACAATGCGGTACCAGTTGCGCGTATGAATTTGCCTTATATTGTTACGGGGATGAGAGAATGAATGAAATAAATATATTGCCACATGGTTTGCTTGGGTAAGATCGAAGAGTGAAAGAAGACCAGGACGATCTCTCTGAGCCTGTGCTTGGGTAGTCGACTAAACGAGCAATATCTGCGTGTGTATACCTTCATTTTTTTTTTTATTTACGAGCATCGAGTCGATGCTTTCAAAGGGGGGGACTATTGCCACATGGTTTGCTTGGGTAAGATCGAAGAGTGAAAGAAGACAAAGACGATCTCTCTGAGCCGCTGCTTGGGTAGTCGACTAAACGAGCCCATTTTATCAAGTTTGACGAGAGTAACGTGACAATATTTACAAAATATACAGGGAGAGTCAGAGGCAGCTGCAGCCAAGATGGAAGACCAGCAGCAACAACAACACGAGCACGGTAGCTTTCATCGTCTTCGTCGTCTATGGTGCTCTTTCGTTGCCGATGTCGTGTAACATATAACCCCCCGCTGCTGGCAGCGCTGTCTCGGCGCTTGAAGGAGAGGAGGGTCATATGCGGATATGTACGGTTTGAGGCGGGTCACGTGGACGACATCAGTAGCGGGTGCGGACGACGACAACTGACTGTCCAACGGAGCAATCTCTTATGCGACATCGGTAAGCCGGCGTAAAACCTTGTAAAGCCCCAAGTAGCGAGACAGGAGCTTCGAAGAGAGGCCAACGTGGCGGCATGGTGTCCAGAGGAGGACCAATGAACTTGGAGAATAGGAAACTACTCTGTGATGGCTATCGTAGCGGGCCTTCTGAGAGAGCTGCGAGCCAAGAAGACTTTGCTGTGCGATTTGGCGGGCCACTTGAGCCCGAGCAGTGGCATCCCGGGCGTACTCTGTAACCGTTTGCGTAGTTGATGGGATAAGAGTCTCGAAGGGTAATGCTGGATGGCGGCCGAACAATAAATAGAAGGGGGAGAAGCCAGTGGTGTTGTGGCGTGACGAATTGTACGCAAATGTCACATAAGGCAAAGTACTATCCCAATCAAGGTGATCTTTGGAAACGTACATGGAGAGCATTGTTGTCAATGTTCGATTTAGGCGCTCGTAAGACCATTTGTTTGTGGGTGATAGGCTGTAGTGAGCTTGTGACGCGTCGAACACGAGCGAAGGATGTCACTTACTACTTTTGAAAGAAATGAGCGACCACGATCAGTCAGCAGCTGTCGAGGAGCGCCATGGTGAAGAATTACGTCATGAAGCAAGAAGTCCGCGACGTCAGTGGCACAGCTTGTTGGTAGCGCTCGTGTGATAGCGTATCTTGTGGCGTAATCAGTGGCTACGGCTATCCACTTGTTTTCGGTGAGAGAAGTAGGAAATGGTCTAACGAGATCAAGACCGACGCGGTAGAAGGGAACGGTGGGTATGTGTATTGGTTGGAGCGTACCAGCTGGTGGCAAGGTGGAATGTTTGGAGCGCTGGCAGGACTCACATGCAGCAACGTATCGGTGCACAGAACGGTAAAGGCCTGGCCAGAAGAATCTACGCCGCACGCGATCATACGTGCGCATGACCCCAAGATGTCCCGCGGTTGGGACGTCGTGAAGCTGTTCAAGTATAGCAGAACGGAGTGTCGCAGGAACTACGAGTAGTAGCTCTAGTCCTTCGGCACTGGTGTTGCGTCGGTAAAGAATGCCATCGCGTAGAACGCACAAGTGTAGCGACGGGTCTACGTGGGGCAAGCGTAGACTCTGCATGATAGACCGCAAGTGGACATCGCTGAGCTGTTCCTTGCATATGTCAGTGAAAGCCGACATGGCAAAGACACAAGGGTCAGAATCATGTGCTGAAAGGTCAGGTGGGTCCACGTGGTGACGGGATAGACAGTCAGCATCCTGGTGCATTAGGCCAGATTTGTATGCCACGTCGAAGCTCTATTCTTGTAGTTTCAAGGCCCAACGGCCAAGTCATCCTGTTGGATTTTTAAGGGACGACAGCCAGCACAAGGCATGGTGATCTGTAATTATCGAAAATGTGCGGCCAAACAAGTATGGTCGAAATTTTCCAACTGCCCAGACTAGTGCGAGGCACTCACGCTCTGTAATGGAAAACTTGCTCTCCGAAGGAGAAAGTAGGCGACTGGCATAAGCAATGACGCGATCTTATCCTCGTTGCCGCTGGGCGAGAACAGCACCAATTCCATGTCCGCTGGCATCGGTACGAACTTCAGTATGGGCGGACGGGTCGAAATGGGCCAAGATGGGTGGGGAAGTAAGTAATGTTGTAAGGGTGCTGAAGGCAGTTGCTTGGTCAGTACCCCAATAAAAAGGCATGTCGTTCTTCAGTAGCTCCGTAAGTGGTCGGGCAATGTCAGCAAAATTCTTCACGAAACGTCGAAAGTAAGAACAAAGGCCGATAAAACTCCGTACATCTTTTGCGGAACGGGGTATGGGAAAATCTTTGACAACTCGAATTTTGTCAGGATCAGGTTGCACGCCTCGAGCACTGACAAGGTGGCCCAGCACAGTGATTTCCCGACGGCCAAAGCGACATTTGGAAGAGTTGAGCTGAAGTCCTGCTTTTCGGAAAACCTCAAGAACAGCCGTTAGGCGGCTAAGGTGGCTTTCGAATTTAGCTGAAAATACGATGACGTCATCGAGATAGCACAGGCACGTGGTCCATTTGTATCCACGCAGGAGAGAGCCCATCATTCTTTCAAATGTAGCTGGTGCATTTCACAATCCGAATGGCATAACCTTGAATTGGAAAAGTCCATCCGGTGTGATGAATGCGGTTTTCTCACGGTCTCAATGATCGACAGAAATCTGCCAGTATCCTGATCGCAAGTCGATAGATGAAAAGTAGGCAGACCCGTGTAGGCAGTCGAGAGCATCGTCAATCCGCAGCAGTAGATACACACCCCGCACCTCCACCAAATGTTACGGGGGTGAGAGAATGAATGAAATAAATATATTTACAAAATATACAGGGAGAGTCAGAGGCAGCTGCAGCCAAGATGGAAGACCAGCAGCAACAACAACACGAGCACGGTCGCTGTCATCGTCTTCGTTTACGGTGCTCTTTCGTTGCCGATGTCGTGTAACAATACCTTCAAGAGTATAGCTTTTTTTTCTTTGCGCATACCTGCCAGCCTGGTCAGACAGGAGAGCAGAGGATGGGGGGAAGACATGATAGAAGAAAACTGCTGTATATATTACTTTACTCTTTCTATACGCGACAGCAACGTTATATACGATTATCAGAAAAGATTGTAGACGTCTGCAACCATAACGATGCTCATAAATATATGGCACGTGCAGCTGCTGTGTCACTTTATAAAGTAATGGAGTATTCGGGGAGTAGTTCTGCTACACAACAGTAATCGTCATCGGACTTGCTCGCATTTTCTTTCTTGAAAAACTGGCTTTGGCCAACTTCCTGTCGGGAATGCTATGTCACACTGATAACTCGCGCGACGTTCAGGATCACGAACGACTGAATCGTAGTGATAGCACGAGAAAAGTACTCGAAGTGGACGAAGATTATTGTTGTGTAGCAGAAACACTTCCCAAATACTCGACCTTTTTTAGAGTGGTATGTCCCATAGCAGTTAGTACATCCATGGAAATATTATTGCGAGAGTCCACATGTCACCATTGTACAGTGGCAAAAGCAAAGCAAGCGTTCTGCATTTGATCAGAAAGTTTTAGATGAGATGTCTTTAGTTACTATTAAGGCGAAAGCTTCAATTAAACTGCCAGCATGAACAATGCTGATATCAACACAAGTGATGCAAAATCACATGATATCTCTCAGCATGATGTCATCATGCATTGAAGTCACATAATGACATCATCCAATGACATCATTGCTTGGCTATACGTTGCCATATCCGGAAAGCGTATAAGGCACAGAAGGCTTGTAATTCCTTCGGTAGGCAGTGAAAAACAGCGGTAGGCGCAGAAAACTTTCAGGGGGGGGAGTCAATTCAATCGACTGATAAAAAACAAAACAAAGAACAAAACAGAAGATTGATTTCACCTTCGAGTCATCTTAGGAGGGGACTCTGTGAGTTTTTATTTTTTGTTCACAGTAGCGCTTGTGCAGCTTCTCGGGAGATGTATGGCCACAACGTACAATCAAAGGGAATTTCGCAAAATTCGAATCCTCCGGGCAAAGCGAGGCAGTTGGCAGTGATGCCTGCGGA